ACTACACATGTAACGCCCAGACTGTTTACCCTACGCACGCTGGAACCCAACGTGTCTTCATGCATTGACGAACTTATTCCTTATGATTTATTTTACAATTTCCAAAGCCTGTACAACTTTCGGCTTACTGCCGATTACATATGTAGCGACGTGTTTGTTGCGAAACATAATTGCGTGTAAATGTTGATCATGCCTGGTTTGGTGTGTCTCGACAAATTCTAGAATATACTATTTATTTATTTATCTATTTATTTGACAAGATGATTTTGCTGCGTATTTTGTAGTGTAAGCGTTAACCATCTAATTTTGTATTGCGGCATATCAGCTGAGGGGATTTGCTCACCCGCAGCTAACGTGGACTGAGGATGGTGATGGGACGAAACATTATGGCTATCTCAGTTAATATCCGTATCTTACAAATCTGTTGTGTTCGCTGGACGAACAAAGTCTATACATTGATATCAAGGCTCATGTACTGGGCTGCTGCCTAGAAGGCATTCATATATTGAACTCGGTTGCTCACAGCTTTTAACTACCGACCCCTCGTTTTAGACGTTTCTCTAAACGCTGGATAGGTTGCCGGGTTGTCGCCGTTGCAGCACGCCCATGGTCAGGAGTGGGGACGCCGGTTGTGGCATGGGCACTAGCCATAGCGACAACTCCCAGGGTTTGGTACTAGGGTCGTTAAAATTTATGCTCATTAGCGGTCTAGCTTTTTTCATCGAGAACCCGTAATGTTTTTGAGGACGAAGCAAAACTGGTAAGTAGCCGCGATAGTTATAGGTTATTTCTAGAACAGTTGGCCATAGCAAAGTAGTCTGAACCAAGGTAATTTCAAACAAATATCCACTGTTGACCTCAAGTGACGTTGCGATTACGGTGCGAACATCCACATGGTCCCGGGTATCGCACAGTGTGGACAAGGTGAGCCACTTGGGCGTCATCATGGCAGCATTCGACTCAGTGTCAACATGATGTTAACAGGGCTGCGCAGCATATCTTTCGCCTCGGGATAGCGTTGTGCTTTACCAAGCCTGGTGCTTTTTGAGCTTACACAAAGCGGGCTCGCTTGGGGTATGGTCGTCAGGCCTGTACACCATATATCCAAAAGGAGGTCGCTTGCTTAGAGAAGGTAAATGGCTGCCAACAAACCTATCGTAAGCTAACTTGAAAACTCTAACGTCGGCCGACATGCTTGCTCAGGCTTGTTGGCATCGTGAAGCCGCAGCGTTAGCTGAGCCCTAATAGAAACAACTAAGGTAATAAATGGTACCAGTGACATTAGGACCACCGAACGCTGATATTTCTACTTCTGACCATGAATGTGGATCCCGTTTTAAATAAATACATACGTGTTACTTATGGACAATGCGATGCACGCTTATTTGACATGATCAGTACAACGTATGGTTGTATAGAACAGCGAAAGGAGCAAAGCCAAAAGCAGGAGTAAGAAACATGTAATCAGTTATGTGGTCTTACTTCGCCAGAAGAAGAAATGAAGCTAATCTTCGAGCGCATCGAGGCGCGCCTCAGCGGCCACCATCAGAATCGCACAGGCAAATTGGTTCGCATTGAACGAGTTGTGATGATAAGAATTACCGATCACATTGGAATGCAGATTATGCAGCAGTTGTCCTGACTGGATATCTGGGCGGAAATTTACAGGATCATTATGGCCCGTTGTTGGCGTTTTACTCTGCAGGCCTTTGTGGAGGCTTAAATATACATTGGTTGGTTCTGTGTCCGGAAATGCACTGTAATTATCAGTCGGCTCGAATAACCCGTGGTCCAAGGATTGCGTCAATAGTTTCGTGAAACCACGTGAAGTTGACCTTAAAGATTTTGCCTCTGCAGAATTGAAAAATTTGGATGTCTAAAAGCCTGGGCCCTGGCTTTTTGCTGGCACACGAAATAAGATGTTCGTCGAACCTGACCTGCTATTGTGTATATACATAAACTGTGATCCAGTTGGTAATGTCGAATTTAATACATATCATTAAAGTTCCGATCATTCGTTGCCTCAGTACCATTGTCACTTCGAAGCAACGTTGTCACTAACTAAAACAAATACATAACATATTGTAGTGCTTAAAAGTTTACGCTGTTGCTTTTCAAACTTTGTCACGGTAGACGGAAATTAACGAGACGATCGAAAGGGCAAAAGATGGGTAGTGGTTACATGCTAAGGGACTGAACAAGCTTTAACTTTCTGCTCTTAAGTTGTACCCCCATAACTGTCAGCAGTGATAACTGGCAGTTGCATTCGTGAAGTTATCTGGTCTTCTTCAAAATGTCTACACAGATACCGATTTTTTATTTAGCTGGGTTCCGGATGCAGTAGATCACCGAGGAAGTCCCTCACAAACCACGTTAAAAAATTGTTTGGTGTGCTTACCTTTGCTATGGATGTTATAATAAATTGTTCCACACAGGACTTACATGCACCATTTGTTTATAACTTAGTACTTAATTTTATAGTGCGGTCAAGTTGATAACCGCCGTAATAAGTAAAAATTATTAAATATCTATCCTCCACCATGCGAGACAAGCCAGTGCAGGCATGATCAGTTACGTGCAACTGTACAGACTTTTGTAGCCATTGTAACAATGGCAGTCAAAACTTGTTCAGGCCTTCACGCTTGGAATTGTACAATAGTGCAAATGTAAAAATAATCATTGGTCTGCCGTTTCATCGGGATCCATTTGTAAGGACATTATTAGTCTGCCATGTATCGTAGTAATATATCAGCCAAGGATAACTCAAATATCCTGGATGATGGATTAGGTGACAATTAAAGAGTAAGATCACGGAGGTGTGACGATATATTGGGTTTGTCTGAAAATAACTCAAACCCCAACGGGGCCGTATTACAAAGCATCGGGAAGGCAGCATAGGCAGATGAAGTGCCCGTGAAATGAAACTTTCAAATATGTTGAGGTGTGACGCCTGCTGACTGACCAGTGAGGGCATAAATAAAGTTAATAAAAAGCTTATTATCAATTACCATGAGGCCCACCAAAATCTGGCTTCATCGAGACTTTACAAGCGGTGGTTTCGTAAACAGCACGTTAAATTGCATGAAATATGCTGTTCGCAAAATACATGTAGAAGTTATCAAACTGTTGGATGCACTGCTCAGGAATGAACCCGTTATTGATGTGTCGAAGGTCCGGGATCAAATATGTGTAAAAGTGTACCACCTAGAATGGAAGTAAAACGTAGAAACAGAGAAGTGTCGTTTAAGTGAACATATCCAAAATATATTGAAATGATGTGAAATGGCGCTCTGGTTAACTTGCCGAGGAGAGCTTGTGGGCAGTAACTTTATTCGGTTGCGAGTCATCCGCCACGTCGCAGTGTTGTTAACCGGACTTTTGTGGCTGTTCTTAGAGAGTGCACTTGCTAGGCGCAAACACACCGCGTGCTGGAACACAGCCCACAATCCGTTTGAACCTTAATTAAGAACTAGCAATATATATTACGGAACGATTGTACACTGCGTTATTCACAGTCAAATAAGCTGCAAACATCTGCGTTAGCTACCAGGATTTTTAGTCCACCTCCGCCATTATTCCATGAAACCGGACAAGAGAAAAAATGTCCAGGAAAGTCGGGTGAAGGATGGTGCAGGAGAGTTAGGGTTACGAATTAATGCTTTGGGTTCTCATTTTTGGTATTCTGGTCATGGCGTGAAGCCTTCGTGTCCAAATATCCACACTGGACGAGTCAGGTATTTAGTGCGGCAGAACCTTGTGGTTAGTGTCGTCCCACTTCAGTTGAAAATGCGATTTCTTATTCAAATGCAGAACACACAGGTAGTTCGCATTAATTCTTTTCAGACTGTGATTGATTTGTATGAGTAAAGAGCCGTACCTCTGAGTTCAGACCACATAACCGCACAGATTGTCCACAGAAGGTGAACAGAGTTTCTCCACAGATAAGTTATCGTCAAGAGAACGTGTCTTCATGTCCAGTAATAGCTCCACGATATGCCATCAGAAAAGCTCCAGGTAAGCGAAGTATCATAAGGTTCTCACAGAAATGTGAGGCACCGAACACCGTTGTTCGAATACCAGTGAGAGGCAGCAAAGTTGTCCATGTCAAGGTAAAGTAATTTTGACATAGTGAAACAAGTGATCAAATTAATGACATAATTCCCGTGAGTAAGGTGTGGTAGCGTGATTGTGAGGCGAAATAAAACCATTTGTTTAGACCACTGCAAACGGGCATCTCTCGAAATTTCCCAACGGATGATCCATTCGGAAGATAGTTGGTATTGTCGGAATGATGATTTTCTGTTGAGGTCCGGGAGGACTGAACAATGGTTTCAAATCAGCTGTCTCTTGTGGATGAATCCGCTATCGCCAGATGATGCACCGTCATGCAAGCGTACTCAATTGAATATGCTTTTTATAGTGAACGCAGCCATTATGACTGCCTTTGGCATATTTTGCTTTCCTTTAAATTGCTTCCATGTAAGACGTTCCGTAGTCTCAAGGTACATTTGTGTTGCAACATTTATGGGATATACACGGCGGTGTTTTAAATGTCACACACTATTCGTCTGGTGACAAAGCGTAACTAAATCACACGAAAAAATAAAGTGATCTTTTGTTAGCGTACTTTGGGAGGTTCGATTGTGAGGGAGAGAGGCATATACTGTGCATTTGTAAGCAGTACACGCATCAGGAAACAAACATGGTATGATAAAAACAATATAGGAATCTCAAGTTCTTAATCCTTATATGCTTAATAAGCATATTCACTTCCGAGAAACTATTGCGGAAGCGGGTTAGCCAAGTTTACGACACCCAATACTAGCATGTTCGCCGTCGATGGGTTATCATCCTTAACATTATCCACGGTACGTTATCTAGGAATGATAGTTGCCGTAAAGACAAAACGTTTAAATACTCAATAACAAGGTGCTTTAATGTGTTGCCTGATCAATTCTTGTATGCAACTTTTATCAAGTCGATGTTGGAATTAATGCATAGACGCGCGGTGTCAAAGCATCCCTAACTGTACTTCGGAACTGTTTAATAGCACAGTGACGGGTTCACTTGAATTTGCGTTAACTCCGGCACTTTCGTAAAGCATTCAGTGGATCCGTGAAACGTGGCTTTGCAGTTAAAATAGCTATTTAAAAAGGTACATAAAAGGTCGCGTTGTTGTTACCAGGTATAATAATAAAAATGTTAAAGTATGCGGTACTAATCTGTAGTTAGCGCATTAGATCCAGCACTTAAAAACCAGTGCTTTATCGTTTTTAAAAGCAATTCTTCTGTTGTTGGGCTGTACAACAACACAACATTGGAACAAATTTTATAGTATGTACACAGCTACTATGCCAAATTTGTACCGCTGAACTCCCGTCTGAGAATCACTTTTTCGACGTTCTGTCAAACGCTCTCTTATCTATGGTCAGATTTGTTTGTACGATATTGCTGTGTATATCTGTAATATTGCTGTGATATTATGATGCTCGTTATCGTGTGTTCCAATGCGAATCTATAACAAGTTACTTTGCGTGAATAGTACATATACTGCGATTTCTGCCTGTGTTTCCGTACTTTTGCACGTGTTGACTAGTCTTGGACTTCTCCGCAGTCCCTCAGGGATTTACTTAGCTGTATATACTTTTTTCGAAAAGCGTTTTTAGGCTGCTGCAAAAACTGTACTCTTTTAATCGGATGTGAGAAAACATTCAAGATGCAAGCTCCTGGGCTGGAAACACCACTAAGTGCTGAAATTCCCTCAGCTGCATCTAAGGTTGTGCTGACGGAATGAAAAACACCAGTTGTCCTTATCGCTTGCTAGTTCCCGCTGTACCAAACGTTGCTCGCATATCTCAGTGGCATAGTGTTTATGACGTCAGCTGTGAACCACTAGGCTCTGATTTCCAATTTAGCTCAGGCTATCTCCACCTGATGAGTCCAAACCAGGACGAAACCGCGGTCATGGCGTGCCAGTGTTGGGATGAGCAACACCAAAGTATTTCCATTTCACACACGGTCCTTGTGATCGGAATGACAGAAATCCACCTCTAGTGAACCGACGTCTCAAAAGAGATTGCTTGTAGCAACCCAACCACACAGCAGATTCCCTAAGTCCAACTTCAAATTCGGTAGTTCCAACTTTAATGCAGACAGATGGAATTCATGCGCATGCGGACTGTGACAACGCTCGTATACTTGGTGAACGTTATGCAGAGGCTTTTGTACGTGAATCCGCGTTGACTAGCGTTGAACTTGTCTCAAGTGTCCCTGAGGGTTCTTATTTAGCTGTTTACCGTGGGAGAAGCCCAAGCCCTTAGGCTGCTGCAAAAACTGTGCCCTTCTAAAGCAGCTGGGCCTGATTCAATTCACCCGAAACTGCATAAATTGGCGGTGAAACTAGGTGGACCGCTGACGATGGTGTTTCAGAAGTCACTTGACACCTGTACATTACTAGTATGGAAGGACGCTGTCGTCTGTCCTATCTTCAAAAACAGCGACAGGAGTCTGTCAGCCAATTACAGGCCAGTCAGTCTGATTAGCATCGTGTTCAAACTGAAAAGCTGCTGAGAGATTCGTTAATAGGTCACCTGAATAGATTTAATCTTCTCAGTAGTGCACAACACGGATTCCGGAATGGTTTTCGTGTCTGACAGATTAGTTGGATGCTCGTGAATCTTGGAATGAGGCAGTGAACAATGGTCACATAGTTGTACTTTTCGCCGACTTCTCGATAGCATTTGATAAGGGACCCTACTTGAGACTATCACAAGCTGAACTACTACAGTGTATATGGTCGCACCCCCTACTGGTTCTGCATTCTTGCTGGGAAGAAAGCAATGTGTAAGCGTGAGTCGCAGATTATCCTTTAGGTAAGCGGTCCTTATCGGTGTCCCACAGGGCTCGGTCCTTGAACGGATGCTGTTCTCCGTCTGCATAAACGATCTCCCTGGGGTGCCTGGGGTATCATCACTATTGTTTGCTGATGATCTTAAACTGTGGAATATTGTATTTCCAGGGGGCCATTCAACATGCCATGGCCAGACTCTGGGACTGGTTTACTTTGCGGCTACTGCCCATTAATCAGTGTTCCGTTCTTCGTATAGATACATTCCCACCGAGATACATGCTAGGTGGGGTCGAACTCCTTGTCTCCAATCAGGTAGACCTAAGCGTCGTCCATTACTCATCTTTGAATTTTGGCGACAACTAGAAGGCAACAAGTTGGGGGTTCAGAATGTTGTTGATACTACGCCGTTTTTTCGGAGTTTTAACTGCCGACATCTTTATGAAACTGTCCTCAGCTTTCGTTCGGCCCCATCTGGATTACTGCGTCCAGGCTTGCTCGCCCTGCCTTGTTCGGGAACAAAATGGAGCTCGAGAGGGTTTTGAGAATAGATACCAAATTGGTCGAGGGCTTACGGAGGCAATCGTACCTCGAGCGTCTACTTAACTTGGTATGTATTCAATGCATTACCGACGGCTACGAGGAGACTTTATCCCTACTTACCACATTTTAACAGAAAAGATTGGACCGGACTTGAGCTCGCTATTTAGCCCGGCTAGGTTGCCTTGTCTTCGCACTCATCCCATGAAGCTACACAAGCCGCGTTCCGACCGGATCAGGGCAGAAACTTGGTTATAGCGTAGAGTTATCGAGCGCTAGAACTCGCTTCCAGAATGTGTAGTCAGTGAATCTACGGTTAAGGGTGTTCAGCGTCAGTTAGATGCTCTTGGGCGGTAACACGAAACCTTTCCCTTCACCTGTCCATATCCATCTTCCAACTTTGAGTTCATATTCTGTCATTCTCCTCACTCTTTAGTGTTAGTCTTCATTTAAATGACTCCTTCCTCTTTATTTTCTATTTACTCTCTACGTCTTCCGTACTTCACGTGACCTACACAGCGGGAACTGCCAGTGAAGGAACGTGGTTAGTAATTGGTTGACCAAGGTGTGGTTCGGGTGTTTCCTTTTAGATCCGTCATGACCTCGTAGCACCTTTTCACTTCCTGGCTCAACAATCCGCTCCAGAAGGATTTTCCTATCGTTCCAGTCTCATATGAATCTAAATGCGTGGCGGTATAATACGAAACAGTGTGGTCTGTTTGTGTGATTGGTTCGTCGGTTCATTGGTTTGTATTGAGCAGAAAGGAAATCCGTTGTCAGCCCTATCACTTCCTGCTCGCTGTAGGGATCGTGTAAGTTGGTGCGGAACAGTGTTCCACAAGAGAGCACTGCGGTCACAGTTGTAGCGTGTTTGAAAACATTCTTACTGCACTCTAAAAAATATGTGTTCGCCGTTTCCTCATAAACTATCGTTGTTTCTTCTTCCGTTTGCTCCTCTATTTTCGCTTTCAACACTGTTCATCCATCTTTTTCATCTAGCTTGGTCTCTTATTAGGTGGTTGCCATAATACCATCTACCCACCTACGAAGTATCTGCTTTTCTTTTCAGCCCCATCGGTTTCTGGTGACGAACGCAGAGGCATCCTGAATCCCGATTCAACACACGCGTGTGACGTGCAGCCATCTCGATCTCATTGAGTTCGATCCTGACCCACTGACTCATACCTGCTCCCACTAGGAGCATTGTACGCTACACAGCCAACCAAGATCCATGCTTGTCCAGCAGATATATGTCTATCAATCGCTTGAAACATTCCACTGTTGGTCCACTGATGACTAGCTCGGGTAAACGAGTTGATAAAGTGACATCAGAATGAACCGTGGCCTCGTATCGAACTATCCGCACAGACGTAGGAACTCTTGTACCTCATTCCCCATCTCACCTCAGAATACGTCGCGTCACGAGGGAGAACAGGCTCTTCCTTCGAAGGTGATGAGAGTAAGACAGGTTTCGGAGTTTCGTGACGAATTTCGATCCCCACCGCTGTACTTCCTCTATCGATACGCATTTGGCTTTCGTGAGAGGATAGGATGCCTTCAGTCCGTACTCAAGAAATGGTCGAACCTGGGAGCTAAACAGAAGTCGGAATATGTCTGAATCCGTGTGAGAAAAGATATTGTAGAAAAGAGCATCCTGTTGGAAGCGGCAATTTTCTTTAGTGTCCTGAGTCTTGCATAGGTTTGGCAAAGCAAAGACTCCAAGGTGCTTCTCCGAGGTTACGTTCCTGAGCAGGAAGCCCCAAAGGTGATAAACACCAAAGGAGTCCGAGGCAACCATTGCGTGGACAGAACACTTATCATGGTTAATGGGTAGCCGCCACTCCATTGACCAGCAGTGCAACCGGTCCAGCGTTGTCTGTAGCCGGTCAGCATCTCCCAGCTTGGACACCACTAGCCACAGTTTCAGATCATCACCATATATGAGACAATCAGTATGATGCATTTGCTTTCATTTTCATTGCGTCTAGTGTGATGGTAAGTAGCGAGCTAGCATGCTCATTTTCACACGTGCGCTCTCAACCACCAGACAAACGAACAGACCACTCTATCACGGCCAAGTTATCTGCCTGTCTCAGTACGTTCGAGCAGGCGATCGATCGAGTGAGGTTTTAAAAACAACTAAGTGTACAGTACCACCGAATTGTGAATAGAGTGCTTGTGTGTTAATTCGGTGTGTCTTCTTCCTTTTGACGCGGCTGGGGAACTCTGTTGTATCTGCAATATGAGTAGATTAGGCTTTTCCATTGTAGGCTAAAGATACTTAGCTATCCTTGGCTAACCGAAACCGCGACTCCGCCTTCAGTGCTATATTATATAATTTCATCTTATGTCTGATTGTTTGAGACCGTATTAGTCTCGCTTAAGGGCGCTCATAAGCGCGTTCTCTCTTCCATTTTTATCAATACAACGCATTCAGCTCATCCATTTTATCCACATGTCTCCTCGGTTTATCGGTATTTCGCATTTCTTTTCACTTATTTTTGATTGAATTTACCCTTTCTTGCTCGTAGGATAATGTTTTGCCTTTGTGGAACCCCCTAATTGCATATAATTTGCTTTTCTGGCGCTTATGTTGAACCATCAGTATTATTGCACCAGTCTATTACGACGTATTAGAGGCAAAGGATAACGTTATCCTTTCTGATGCCTACTGACGTTTTGCAACTTGTGCTGAATATTCGTGTCGTTTATATTGTTCAAATGGGTTTGGATATGATGCTTCTTTGAGTCAGATCAATTTTGGTGTTTCATTTGCAATCCAGCTGGGTAGGTGGCTTGAAGGAGTCTGTAATACTCCAAAAGATTCACAGATCTTTTGCACCTGACCCTACGTGGTGGATGTGGTGGAATTCAGAAGATTGGACTGATAAATTTATGTGACGCGCTTCTCTCGTACTCATTGAATTCCATCCTGACGTACCGCATCTTATCCACCTTTGGTCTCTGCTCTTACTAGGAACATTGTACGTTGCGTCAACGGGGTGTGCTCTTTTCCTGCGCAATACTAATTTCCGTTCCATCGGGACTCATGGAACTAAGTAGATCAGAATGCTGAAAAAGTAACAATGCTTTTGGCCGATGGCCTTAAGGGTTTCACGCTTGCGTAATCCCGGAGTCACCAATTGAAATTCGCGTAGATACGCGTGACTTTGCCGCATACCCAGCCTTCGTGCGACTGGCTGTAGTCGCATGACAACGAAGCGTCGGTACGGTGATGCTTTGTCTTCATGCTTACAATCCACCTTAAAGTGCTCTTTTGCTAAGTGGAAACAATGTTAGCAATACTTGTTTGTAGAAAAACCGGTTTATCTTGCTATAACTATTAGCTCGATATTTTTCTTGGCGAGGGCCTTTTTAGCGTACCCACTAATCGTTTCTATTAACGTTTTTCGTTAGCCTTCGGATTCAAGGTTGATATTATATTCTCTGTTAATTAGTGTTACAAAGTATGTAACCAGATTACTGCTTTCCCTTTTGCTGCTTTTTAATCAACAGTTGTGCGATCTTACTTGCAGCTTTTTGTCGATTTAAGTATTTTACTTTGTCAGCTATGTATCATTATCACCATCAATACACGTTAGCTAAGAGTGAGAAAGACACCCCAGCTAACATACCGCAATACAAAGGGTAAGGCACTAAAAATTACGCCGCAAAAATTCAAAAGCATGTGTTATAATCTTAAATATTATGCATTTCGTATGAGGTCGGAATTGATGGGAAAATCTAATGAGGCGATGGACAAGGAAACTCACAACACAAACGCCATTGGGGCCGGCTCTTCATCTTTATCAGCAAGTGTGTCCAACCAAACGTGTTCATCGTTTTTACGACCCCAGCCAGGTAGTTGGGATGCACCAGCCGACGCTGACTTCGAAGTGAGAGTTTTCATTTCTCTCGACCAAGTCATCGCTTGGTCTTCCCTCCTCCTCTTCCAACCGCACCCCCGGCTCGCAGGCAACATACGCCGCGGGAGTCGGCGTGCTGGCATGCGCAACACATGGCCCAACCATTGGAGTCTGGTGCGTGATATAATGGTACTGAGCGGTTCACTAGCTCTTCCTGTACCAAATATGCGACCCTGAATACGCTCATTGCTCACGCGGTGTTCCCACTAGACTTAAGTAAACTAGGAAGGTAGCGATTTTCGTTTGTAACAAGCCTCTTTACGTCTATTGACTTGATGGGCCAGGTTTCACAGCCGTACGGGTGGGTTGAACGGACGGCTGCCCTTCTTAGCTAGAGTATGTGGGGTCGGCGTCACAGGGAGTTGAAATTGGCAAGTGAATCGAGCTTTTGCTCTGCGGTCTGTGACCCTATCTTCTCTACATGCGCTAATATAGCTGTCAAAGTACTTAAATTACTGAACGGTTTCTAACTGATCAGCACCGTGGGTCAGTGTAGGTGTAGGTTCCTGCGAATCTTGAAGGACTTAGCATTTTGAGGGTGGGAAATATAGCCGTCCTTGCTAATTTATCCAGTGCTGCTTGGCACGTTTGTGAGCTGTCAGCTTAGGGCAATGTCGTGGACGTACTCCAAGTCAAGAAGTCGATCACCTGGGAGCAGCTCCACACCTTGTTGATCGGGTCCATTAAAGACATTTTCCATTAATTCGCTGATGGTGAAGTTAAAAAGGAAGGGCGACAGGTGGCAACCTTGTCCCACACCGCTGAAGACATTGAAGAGTGGCAACAGGCTGTCACAAGCTCTCACTTTGCCCGAACTACGCGCTCATGCGCCTGTTAGACGGCTGATTTGAGAGTAGAATTACCTGTGCGTTGCTTGCTGTTTTCTTTCTGGGGTGGGGCTGGCTGGGCTGCTCAAGCAGTTAGACCACACAGAGTTCGTCCTACTAATAAACGGCTTCCCGATGTACTTGCATTCACTGAAACATGGTTGCCCCTGGGTATTACGGACGGCGGAGTGCGTCTATCTATCGGCGCCATGTTTTCGTCTAATTACTCCGTTGTTCGCTATGGCATCTTTCGGCTGCCATTCGCACTTCCTCTGCTCACTTTTCAGTTGTGGCCACGTGTAAAAGCTTCGAATTGGTGCTTGTTTTTATTCACTTTCAGGCTGCTATTAAGTATCGCACTGAGTGACTTCAGCTTCCCCGGTATTTGTTTGGCTTATCCTTCTTGCAACTCAGCGTCTAGTACTTTCATTGCAGAACCTGTTGAATTTATGCTGCAAATGCCTGCATTAGTTCGTGGACCTCATTAGGCGTTTGAACCCTTGATAGCACGAGTGTCCGATTTTAATCCCGTAACCTTCCGATTTCTGTCCGAAAAAAGCTACGAAAAAAATTTCGGAGAAATTGAACTTCCAATACAAAATTGGTAGCACTTGAAATACCGTTTTTAATCGATTCCGAATCCACATTCCTATTGTTTGCCGCCTCTTAACGATATTGAAGAACCTTAGGGAACCTTTCTGCAGTGCCCCAAAACACCATTTTTAATGCAGGAAATATGCATTACCCAAGAGCTACCATTACGGGATAATACTGAAGCATGTTACAAACAACACCAAACATGGTTTTTGCATCTGCATAACCCTTTTTCTCCGACTTGAAACCTTCCTTTTCCACACACCAATTTCACTCTGACATCTGATGGAAATCGGGCACCTAAAATACTCGCAACCATCTACTGGCATACCCCTTTGTTATACGTTTTTGCATATTTATGACCGTTCAGGTGGCATTCGGTATAGCGCTTAACGGTTACATGCTTTTTGTTTTCCACATGCCGATTTCAATCCGGGAACGGACGGAAATCGGGTAGTTGACTGTCCGATGGTGCTATCTGGGCGGCTAAGTGGATAAGCCAAAACATGCTATTGCTAATAGCCCTTTTTATTTGTCATCTGTTTATTCTACACATGTCACTCTTCCTGTTGTCAGCCTGTCCTCTGTAAGCTCCACTGTGGTTGATAACTGCTACACTACCACTGTAATTTCGCCATCTTCACCTCTAATTCCACAGCTTCAACTAGAGTCCTATCATCAGAAAACACTTTTCTCATCACACTGTTCCGTTTCTCTGGCGGCGTCCAACGTCCGTGTTCTAAGACTAGTCAGCGCTTGCCCATTGGGCACTGAGTTTGGACTTTTGACGCGTGTCAGACCCTAGTATCATTGAAGTGTACCAAACTAACCACGCGTAACTTACGCTGTCCCCCAACATAAATAAACGCGGTCGCCAATTCCGAATGCCCTGTTTTCTCACTTTTTGTAACTGTCCTCTGGCGCCATCTACTCGGCTGTTTTAGTTGATGCTTACCCCCCTAGTCGGTCGTCTGTTTTATTTGTCACTTTCATATATGGCAATGTCGCGAGCCACTTTGAAAAAAACTGTTTGATCTTGGGTTTGTCCTAACGCAGTTAGGCATGCGATTCTTTACATTCCTAGACTCATTTGTCACCTTTTAGAGGTCAAGTAGATTGGGCTTCTCATTTACCATGCATATTGCAAGTGTTTTACTATTTTGCACTATATTTTCCTGCCTTTGTAGGTATGTTGGTCACCCCCTATTTACAAAGCCGGATTATTTTCGTGCTTTCGCTAACATATTTGCCTTTCGTATAAATTACGTGCGCTTGTTGAACCGTTTGTTTACTGCACTCACCGTTTTTTGAGTACAGTACTTTCGATGTTTCCATTCTGATAGCCTAGGCAGATCTTTAGATAAGTACGTTGCAGCACTAGTTATCTAGCTCCGATAAAGCCCGTCCATTCGTTATCACCTTTGTATGGTTCGTACACTGGCTTATCCGATATGAAACTGGCCAGTGTTGCTTGCATACATCGTTTGAATTACTGCACTTTTTGTGTGCTTGTAGCGTAGAATTCAATACTCTCGCATTTTTGTAACACCCATCTTCGGACACCTCTTGATTTGTAAGGACGGAATATTTTTGGTGTGAATTCCTGTGACCGAGGATGCTGTGAAGTTCCGACTTTTCTGAATTTTCTGTTTTCACATGATGTTTGTCGGTATCCAGCGATGCTCCGCTTACATATTCGCCACATACTCAGGCATATTTTCCTCCCAGTTACCTGTCGCCAAGTGTGGTTACTTCAATCTTATCCTCTTTCAGCATCTGCCGTTGATCAGGTCAGGACTATGATGTTAGCAATCCATAGACTATCAACTGGACAATTCAAGCCGATTGTATAGAATGGCCGCCTTGTTCTCTCACGCTCTTGGGGTGCTGTCAAGATTAGTGAGTTGTTTTCATCATCCCCACACTTATACTGTTGCTGTGTCTTAATTTAGTAAAATACTTTGTCGCCAGTAGACTTGGAAAGAAGAACATAACGTGACATTCTGCAAACATTTTACCCGATGGAGCTTGTACCTTATCCAGGGCATTGCATTATTGACTGTAAAGGTTTGGGCTATAACGCTGTTTCTTAACTTGTTTTATGTTATCTACTGCTTGCTGTTTCCCCTCTCACTATCATGACAGCGTGAGTCTTGGCAACTGGACCCACCGCGCTCTGGTGCACAGATCATCGTTTAATATCTGAGCTGAATCGGAGTGCAACCTCGAAGTATCACGAGCATCATGGCGTGCGGTAACTAAGCTTACAAAAATTTCTGCTGACTCTTTTATCTAATCATTGCTTGTTTATCTCATACACCAGACAGGCGGACGCCTGGCGTCGGCCTTCACAAACGCAACAGTGGTCCTAGCTTGACCATATAGCAATTAGTTGCAAGTGGAACGGAAGCGTAACAGTCTGCCGGTGGCAGACTGGCATTGGCTCGTGCTAAAGTTTGCATGTATTTTAGAGAATCGCCCAGGCCTACGCATTACCGATCGAACGTCGAAAATCCACAAGATCCTGCGATCTTGACCAGGTGCCAGTACTTACTGTCAGTACTGCTTAACTCAGCTTTTGACCATGGTATCAGTTAACACTGGGCACACACCAAATATGCCGTATAATTTTACCATTATCGACTGTTGTGGAGTTGCCAATCACCCACTGAAGAGCTGGATCACCGCTATCTCCTTTTCGCTGATAGACAGACGCCGCTCGGTCCTGACCGATGCCAGTCATAGTGAGGAACGCCGATCCTTAGGTCGATAGTTGCGCGGTAATTTACAAATAGACCATGAGCACTGGGGATGTGAACGGGCTGTTGATATGGAACTTGCTAGTTTCTCTGGTAATACCGGAAGACTTTTCCATCTCATCCGGGTCACCTTAGGTATCCGATCTGGTGTAAGTGAAACAATCTGCGAAGAGGTTGGCTCCTTAATCACTCATCTTCAAGGACAGTGATGGGATGAACACTTTCTCCCGCAGTTTTTTTGGTCACCAGCTCTATCTGCTTTCTCTGACACGCACTAGTGTTGAGTGATCTATCCCCACAAATCCTACTTCTCACCAGGAAATCTGATAGGAACTCTGCGGCTTGAAGGGCTATAAATCACCAGGCCACGAAGCCTACCTCCCGCTTTATGAAGAGATGGCAACTATTTATTTGTTCTCTCGATGTCTGGTCAAACTTGTAGTTAACTTGTAGTTAATCGATAGTCGTTCTATTTTAAATGGGGCGTGCGCACCATTTTCTCTTATCACAGGGGTATAAATTTTGTTCCCGTCGTTTGTAATCTTTTAATGTCTATCATACTTCACGGGCTATCAATAACGCGCGAGTCGCTACAGTGGAGAGAACAGCCCGGGTTTTGCCTTGGTCGCTGCTGCGCTGGTCAATTTTCCACGCTCCAGTAGATCCTGGAGCTTTGCCATATGTATCACAAGCGAATGATTGTTATGTTCCTGGATATCCGTACTACCTTCGATTTTGTCTACAGAGTTGTATTATGGTAGCGCCTGTCGAGGAATGGTGTCGCCGAGAAGTTCCTTTCCGTACTGCCTGCTCTGTAGCGTTAGGAATTATGGCAAGCTTTCGCCTTCTTTGTTGTCACAAGTGGAGTTCGACAAGGATGCCTTATCTCCTCACTTCTCTTTAATTTTACCATTGAGGATGTCAATATATGCTCTGAATGACTTGTTGAACGCTGGCGTTGAGCTTACCTCAGATTGTCTAGTTGTTAATTTGGACTACCCTGATGTTATCCTGGTTGGCTTACCATAAGCCGTTCAATTTACACTTGACGATTGAAGCATCGAAATATAGCATGCATTCACCCCCCCCCCATTCGAGTGCAAAACTCTCTTACAAGACAAACAGATACCACTGACTGCACTCACCCCTGGTGGTGAAGCACTAAAGGTTGTTGAAGATTTTGTCCATTTGGGAAGCTACATCACTGGTGCTGGGGCTGTATAAGACGATCTTTCGATGCGGGTCATAAAAGGCACTTTTGACATCGCCATCTATCCATCAAAGAGCGGGTTTAGAGCACGACTATCCGTGCCCTATTATTGTGCGGGTTCGTTTGATTCGGAGCCGACCCACGCACCTTCAGCACGCACAACATTCCTACGAACTTGGGGAAGGTAGCATACTTGACGTACGCAGGGCAATGGCTGGGACATATCCCGTTCTACACTAGATGGAACTACTTTGAGTCTAGTACCATCACGAAAGCCATGCACCCCGTCTCCTCCTAGTGATGATTAACATTCTGCTGGAGCCAGCAATCGAGATGGTGGTTTTCACATTCTAGCGCTTTGTTAATACTCACCAAACGCATTCAGACCAATCAGTCAATCAACACACACCAAAAACTCAAGTTACTTAGCACGCACGCACATCTTTAGACCAGTAGCAGTGATGTTGTAGCACATGTGCCACATCGACCGTATGGTTCAAGAAAGTGATTTATGCACCCAGGACGGGTGGATATTCAGCCGTAACACACAAGCTTTCAGCGGTGCAGCATGATATAATGCAACTCAAAAATTGTGGTTTAATGAATGAAAAAACAACACCATCATAGCATAATCTGGCTTATTACTTCTCGGAAAATTTGTTTTGTTCTGGCAAAATCGCGCTAGATAGGGGATAATTGACGAACGGCACACTCGTGGTTGGGCATATATGGCTTTGTATTTCTGGCTGGTTGACGAGGCAGGCACATTTCAACAATACCCAATGAAAGGGGTGACTAGTGTCGGCAAGTATTGTTGACGCTAGTCTCGCAAGGACCAACATGTGTGGACACAAGTATGTCAAGGAAACTCCGCTTTGATACACCGCTACATCACATCAAGCGTTTTACTGATCCGTAGTCCTTACCCAGTAGACTGGGAAAAATTTGCTGAGCAGCAAGTCCAGTGTGGAGAAACACAGGTAGTGACAAAACGAAGTGTCAAATCATGGAGGATCGAGGAATCCTGAAACCGTGATGCATAGAAAGACAATATCCTCTCTTTTGTGAACGTTTCGTTTATTTGGTGTGACAGATAAATCGTAGCTAAGCATGACACCCTTGTTCTTTACTGATGTGAAGGAGTGGAACCTCTCGTCATTGATGTTGAGTTCCGGAAATCGCTGTACCATCTGTTAATATTGATCTCCTCAGCGCAGTGAAAAATATGACGTTATTATATTTTGACACGTTAAGCAGCAGCTCGCGGACCTTTGACCAAAAAATATGATCATTAAGGATATCTACTAATTTGACTGGAGAGGCAGTGGTCGGTTGATTGACATCCAAGACAATGTCGTCCGCGTACAGGGTCGCCTCCCTGGGAATTGATATTGGGCTGACATAATTGGAAGGTAGAAATAGTGACAGAATATATATATATATATATATATATATATATATATATATATATATCCGGTTTCGGATTTGCCTGTCACTGTGGCAAGCCACAGGACGCCTGCGCCTACAGAGGGACCATGGATGGCTTGCGCTGCACCACCCACAGCTCCAACCACATACCCCATATCCAGTGTAAACCCGAAGAAATAAGACCGGGAGGCATGCGGATGGGAACCACGTTTCATCAACGGAGCCGGCCCACACTCCTTCACAGGCAAACACAAGCACGCTGTATTTGGGGAATCAAGCGCACACAAGGCGGTGGCTGGACCGTAGTCCGCTCCACACTGAGTGCATGGAACCGCTCTTTGAGCCTAGCACGGCCACAAGAACCGTGCACCCCGTCCCCTCCAGCAACGACCAACTGTCTCCTGCAGCCAGTATGGACGACGTAGTGGGTAATAGACAGGTAGGCACCTTGTCAACATGCACATCAAGCGCAGCCACACCGGGGATATCAAACAACAGCCAATCACTTGAGAGAGAGAAAGAAAAAGAGAGAAAAACTCGATTAATGCATAAGAAAACGGTGACATAAACCTTAGTTAAATAGCATACGTAATAAGTTGTTTACAAACCAATCCTAGCTAAGTGCACGAGGTCAGGAAGTATAGTTCACGGTTTGCCACGAACACAAAAATGTTATGGAAATCGGATAAAATTGGCTGAAGCGATGTGTGCAAGTTAATGGAATAGAGTACAGGGAGATATTTATATGAGAAAGAAAAGCAGTAAGGTAAAAACTGTAAACCCACCACCTGAAATAAAGAGACTTAGCATGCAAGCACGCGGTTAGTAAATCGAATTCAGCGTGCCTACAAACGCTGCGCCGGCTCGCCGTAATTCTCTGCAGGACCCGTCGTCGCTTCTGTAGTGGCCCCAAAGGACCTAGCTCATGGCCCACTAGACATTTATTTGAGAAAGAAAGGAATTAAGAGAGAACTGAAAACCCACCACCTGAAATAAAGAGACTTGGCATGCAAGCATGCGGTTAGTAAATCGAATTCAGCGTGCCTACAAACGCTGCGCCGGTGCTGCCTACGTTCACTGCGGGACCCATCGTCGCTTCGGCAGTGGTCCCGAGTGACCTCTCTCATGGCTCACTAGGCCTGCCTGACTCAGACACTCGCGACCGCATGTTCTACAGCACAATGCGCTCGATGTCGATGGAGTACAATTCATCGGTGCTTGCCGCTTCCGCAACTGCCGCTTCTTCTCTGCATGCATGAGGGATTTCTCCCGCACTTCAGCAACTGCCTTCGTGATTAGATCGTGCCACGCACGCCGATCAACCGCCTTCGATTCCCATGATCTGCAATCAAGATGAGAACGTGTGAGGCTCACTTTAATCATGTCCTGGTAATGTAACTTTGGTTTCCCCACGTGCCGCTTCCCAATACTCAGCTGACCGTATAAGAGTTGTTTCGGTATCCGCGTCGAATCCATACGGCTCACATGACCGAGCCATCTCA